TATATCTCAGGAAATGGAAGTTTCAATTTTGACAGTTCGATAAGCAGTCAGCGGAAATAGTTTAATAAGATAAGAGATGAGATGAGAATTAAAGCCGCAAAATACTCGAGCAAGTCAAATCGAAAGTCGTATTTGATTAAGTACTCTTAAGTTCAGATACCGGAATCAACTGTGACAACATGCTAAAGTGACTGTTAACTCTAACAAGAGGCAGCTGAAAAACCTTTTAAAAAGAATAAACGGACAAGCAACAAAATTAAATGAGCGCATTAGAAAATGGTTAAAGCTTAACATGACTATCAGATCTCGAAAAAACAACAACATATGACAACAGGTTGTAAAAACTGTTATTTTTGAAGGCAAAAAATAATTTTAGAGATGAAAAATATAATTGTCTTAAAAAGGTGGATAGAAAGAATAAAAACCACGCATAAAACCATGTTTAGGTGATTGTTAAAGTTGAATATGATGAAGAGATCACATTAAAACGATTGCGAAAATAAAACTCAGTTTGACAACAGATTAAAGTGGCTGTTAACTTTGACAGCAAGGAAATGGCAACTATTATATTAATACTTTATCAATGAAAAATACAATCAGAGCAAACCATTTGACAAACTGGTTGTTAATGATAACTTTAAAATGTTTGCGACACCAAAACACAGTTTGACATCAGGTTAAAATGGCTGTTAATTTTTTCAAAATAAGAGTCTTATTTAATTGTGTGCTGTTTTAAGTTCAAAAACCGAAACAACATTAAGGAAAAGAATAACAATTGTTTTAAAAAGTTCAATCCTAACTATTTTCAAAAGTTATTTAATCAACACAAATGCCTAATGATTAGCATCAAGCATCGTTTAGGAAAAGGCTTCCTTAAATTTCTTAAAATGTTCATAAGTCTCTACTTAGCATCCACCACAAAGTCGATTCAAATATATAATTTTCTGGCACAAACAATCGGATAGTTTGCTGTGGTAATTCTGATACACTCAATTGGCCAACTAATGAAGCAGCCCGCACAAAAGCCAGACAATGGATATGTATTTGGGCCCATGTCATGACCTCTTGAATCCGACCCGATGTCCAAAATGGGTTATTGAAGTGGAAGAGCCCGCACTGTGGTGGCCACAGATTAATCACATTAGGTAGGCCTACAATTATGGCAAGTGTAGGACCTTTCAACCAGAGCCGACACACACACACACACACACACAGACAGTTAAATGTCAAATGCACATACATATGCATATGTCACATTTGCTTTATATTTTAATTAATTTGTAATCCTTGACATTGAAGCTGAGGCGACTGCAATTAGAGGCAGCTGTTAAATGTGTGCTGCTTGGCCAAAGGATTACAAGGATATCCATTTGTCTCCAAGCATTTATCAAACGTCAACACACATGGCCCAAGTGGACAGACAGATACACACAAACACACACACTCACACGCAGCCGCACACCCGCGACACACGCCTATCAAATTCTAATTACACATCTGAAATTTAATCATCAAAGTTGGCTACAAACAATTCCCAATGTCTTTCAGTGACGAGATTTGCATAATTTAGGCCCGATTGGGTTAAGGGAAAGTTTCAAATAGGTTTGAGCTTATTTGAAATGCAGGAAAACAAAACATTTTCTTAACTTTAAACTTTAGTACGCCATTAAGTTGTTGCTCGCAACGAAGGAATAATACTTTGGGATAATATCTATGCTTCAATCACCCATCATTCAGTAAATCACTCGCTCAATCTATCAATCAATCAATCAATTCAATACATATACAGTGAACACTCTCTTTATCGGACAGCGATCTTTGGGTAATTTTTGCCTGCTCGAGAGAGTCCGTCTAAAAAGGAGCTTTGGATTGATTGGCCTAATTCAAAATGGTTTGAGAGAAAATGTCCGCCCAAAAGGGATGTCCGCTTAACGGGAGTGTCCGCAGGGCGAGTTTTCGAAAAATCAAATCTGGCATGTTTCAAGCCAACAATTGGCATAGGCTCTTATCCTACTTAAATCAAGTCAATTCAGTCAATATCTAAATAAAAGACAATAAAAATCGGTCTTAAATATTTGCTTATCTTAAGATAAACCTAATTTCAGTATCTTGTTATGCTCGTTCGCATTGCTCGATAAGATATGAAAGCGACTTCTTTGGTAAACCTGCCCAACCCAAACCCCTCCACCCCTTACCCATCCACATCTGTATCTGCTATAATTTCCGGTTGGCTTGTTCGTATTATATAATTTATTTATTGCGTATCGCATGGCAAAAACTAAATGCTAAGAGAATTATTTACAATTTTGGCCACGCCCACAGCGTTAGTAAATGTATTTTTGGGGCTGCTTTTGTCATTTGCGGCCGCTTTGATTTGTGTTTTTCTAATGTACCAAGCAAAGGCAATTTGTCTGCCACAGAAGTGAATGCCCCCCCCCCCCCCCCTTCCCCGTTCAGCTTTGGAGGCGCCACCCTTTCGTGCCACTTGGCTGACAAATTGTGTTAATTTGCATATTCGAAACTTTTGCCTAATTGAACATAATGCCACTTAATTAAACTTAAGCAACTTTCGGTGGGTGTGGGACGGCGCAGGAAGCAGGGGGATGGGGCAAGCTGAGAAATCACCGTTGGTAAACATCTTGGTAACTAACTAGCTGCTTGCAACCAAATGTACGAGCAGCACCTAAAACTGTGCCCCAAACATTTATGATACACTCGAATTATTGTTGTGTTTGCTCTCGTTGCTGTTGTTGTTAGTTTGTGGCACTTTGTGGTTGCAATTAGTTGGAAATTTACAGATTATGACGAAGCTAATGTTGGGACGAATGCCCAAAGAACCCACAACAATCTGCACACAAGCTAAACACACACACACATGAACTCATAAAACAATTAGGCATTTTGAGTTTTGTGCCTAAATTATTTAAAAGACAGTTGAAAATGGCAAATGTACTTAATACTCATTAAATTAGTCTAATATAAAGTGTAATACTGTGAACACTCACTTGGGCGGACAGCCCCAAGAGCAGTGTCCGTCTAATAGAGAGGCAGCGGACGGAGCCTGACTTAATGGTTGGGTATCAAATGTCCGCCAAAGAGAAGTGTTTGTTAGGAGAGTTTACTGTAGCCCTATAAAAAATCCCTATCATGTTTAGCATGAATGACAGACTGACTGTCTGATTGACTGACTGATGGACGGACTGACTTATTGACTGACGGACCGACTGAGTGTCTGATTGAATGACTAACAGTCTGACTGAATGACTAACAGTCTGATTGACTGACTATCTGATTGACTGACTTATGGACTGCCGGCCTCACTAACTGTCTGATTGTCTGCCAGATTAGCTGTCTAATTGACTGATGGACTGACTGTCTGATTGAATGACGAACATTCTGATTGACTGACTTATGGACTGACTGGCTTTTTGGTGGAGGGTATTATAGTACTGTCATTAAATGAGGGAGGCATTGGAGACATCGCCAACCCCATAAAATATATATGTATATACTAGATCAGTATCAAAAGGTCAGTTGATATATTTCTACGCGAGCTAGTCTCTTAGCAGATCGTTTAATTAATTGACTAAACTAAGAAAATTAGAGTTTGCTATTTAGAGCTTAATTCTGCCAGAAACATACATAAACCTATTTTATTTTACGGTTACTAACTTAATTAAAATATGAATATACGATTCTGAATTTATCGAAAGAAAATAAACTTAAAATTCTACGGTTATTTAAACAAACAAATTATTGATCCATAAGTTATTTATTAAGTTAATTTGTATATATTTTATATACATGTCAAATGTACCGAAAGTTGTCAAAATTATGTCCATTTATATATCCATTTTAGCGACAATAAAGTAGGCTATATATTTCAGTCAAAAACAAAATCAGGTTCCATTTTCCGATCACAAACATCTGTGTAAATTGTGCTCTCAATTCAAAATTTTGCAATTCTAAAATGGCTTTTCTGGACATATTTCTTCCATTATACTTCTACAGCGGATTCTGCATATTCGTTTATCTGATTGATTCATATTTTTGGGATGAATTTCGACAGACGTCTTCAGTAATCGTCAACTATTAAAGCAGTGCCTGCTAAAAGTACCTGCTCCGCGGTGGCGCCACCAAGTTCCAGTTTTAAATGACAGATCAACTTATCCCTGCTGGCCCTGCTGTACAGTGGCAGTGTTATTCTCTCGTCGGAGTGCTGCCTGTTGCTGGCAAATCGATCAATTTTCTTGAATTTATCCGCATTAGCAGTCTGTTCAATATTTTCTTTGATTTTATAGGCAATATAAAATGCATTTGGAGCGCTCGTATTTAACATTTGTGTATTTCCATCCAGCTGCATGCATTTCAAATAAATAGTGTAGTTCAAATTCGTATTAGATTCCATTATTTATTTAGACAGCAACCATAACGATTTTAGTCTGTGCACGCACCAGAGCCGGCGAATTTGTGACAACACTGTGCAACACTTAACGAACGTGCTCATTTAACGAACATGTGCTCACTTAACGAACTATGCACTTTATATAAGCAAAGCTATGCTCCTCACTGTTAATGCATAAAAATACTTTCCCAGTGAGGAGCAATTACGTTACACAACTTTACGAAAATACTTAATATTTAATAACTTAAAACGTATTAAATATTTAGAGTGCACAAAAAAAAAGTTTAATAAATGCAGCACAAACGAAAACATTTGAATTATGAAACAATGCACATACATCAATACGTGCTCAAATGTTGCTACTCAAAAAATACTTGCGTTAAATAACAGTTAACATAGCTGCTGTGCAGCCCTGGCACTGCGTTAACAGAGCGCCGGAATGTCAATCAAATAAACAAAAAGAAGCGGCGTGAAAAAAAGCGAAAAACTGCAGCGAAATCAAATTCTGCAGTAAATACAAACTAAATGTTGTAAATAAAAACTAAATATAATTCCAATCGAGTGGTAAACATACAGAAAACGCCAAACTGGAGACGCATTTTATGGCCAAGATGGGCAAGGTAAGCAAACAGAATGCGAAGAAAAAAGCAACGAAAAAAAAAACACGAAAAACAGAAAAAGACAAAAGAGCCCACGGCCCGAGCACAGAAAAGAGACAGCGCTGAGTGACAGACAGCCAGACAGCCAGACGAGACAGCCGAATGGACGGACGGACGGACGGACAGACGCACGCATCAAATCAAAATGTGAGGCGAAGGCGCCAGAGCAAAATAAATTAAATATAAACCAATGTAAAAAGGGCCAACGACTCACCCTAAGCGGCGCCAGCTTCAGCACCGATGTCTCGGGATCTGCAACTCTGTTGTTAATACACTGCAATCGCAGTCGCTGCGTGGAGACGCTCAGCTTGCGCGCTTGCTGCAGCTTGAGGCAGGCCAACAGATTCTCACAGTTGTACACATGCACCAGATTCAGTTCCTCAACGAATTCCAGCTGCAGCTGCTGCCTGTAACGCTGCTCCGCCGCCTCCGCACGCACCAACAGGCCGCGCAGGTAATCCGCGGCGCTGTTGCTGCTCGGACCGGGCCACAGCTTCTGCCAGCTATGCGGCACCTGTGGGAAGTTACACGGGATATTACAACGAACAGGAAATACTCTTGGCAGACATATGACTAGACTAAGGTCTTCTAAAATGTAGGCCCGATTGTTGCTATGTCAGCTATAAACTATAGAAGTCACATTCTGATCATATTTTAACATCTGTGGCAAGTTAAGGGTTACTGCAACGAACTCTAAATACTCTTTCGGACATTAAAGGTTTTCTAAAAAGTGAATTATGCTAAGCCCAATTGATCCTATATGCTTTAAATATCTGATTCTGATTATATATCAAGAACTGCGGGAGTGCTACGGCATATTACAACGAAGTTGAAATACTCTTACCGACATTTCTATATATGGTTTAAAGAAAGATTTTCTACAAATCGTCCGATTCTTCCTGTATGCTATAGAAGTTTATATGTGGAAATATTTAAACACTTGTGTATTATAGCGAATATGAAATACTCTTTGACTGTTTTGCAGTGCGTCTCGACCTGCTTGTTCCTATATTCTATAAAAATCTGATTCTAATATTATCTTCGTATGTACATAGTATCGGAGTAAATAGTGTATAGTAAAGCTCAGATTTTTCTTAAGATCTCTTAAAAAGCAAAGTTCCTATGGGACCACAATATCCATAGTAGAAAAGAGCTCAGTTTTGACCCGATCGTTCCTTTGTTAGCTTTATCGACTGCTCTTGTGATGCTGATCAAACAGGTACAGTGAGTGCTATACTAACGGACAGCTGCCTTTTTACAGTCCTAATATTTTTCTTATATACTTTTATGACATATTCTTTAAGTGTTCGCTCCATAGAGCTTTCACTGTGCATATGTTCTACACAATTCGCAACTAACTCAATGGGACTTTCATAAATTTGATTTCCTGCCTACGTGCTCCTTATTCTCCCTACCTCTCCCCCCGCTGCACTCACCTGCTGCTCCGCCAGCGCCTGCATTGTGCTGGCATCCACATCCGCTGGCTGTTCGGCTGTGCCCGCCGTCTCCTTAAGCCAGTTGTGCAGCTGCGAGAGCAGCTGATGCACTGCTCGAAACAGCTGCGCACCCAGCTGCAGCTCCGCGTGCACAAACAGCGTCCAGGGCGTGGGCGTGGGCGTGGACGTGGTTGTGGCCTTGCCACCGGCCCACGCCTCCTTGGCCGCTTGGCTAATGCTGCATGCGCTGGCCAATTTGCGCCATAGGCTGAGCAAAGGCTTGATCTGCTGCTCCAGGCGCTGTCTGGCATTGGACGTGGCCAGCTCGTTGCCTGCTGCCGCTCCGCCAAATTGCAGCGCTCGCAGATCCCTGACTATGAGACGCGCCTGTTCCATTTCGCGCCGCTGCTGCGCCTGGCTAGCCAGCCCATATATGCGCGGCTCATCCACATCCGGCAAGCGCTCCACTGCCGCATGATAATCCTGCAGCTGGCCGCTTGTGGGCAGGGCGCTGCCCAGGCCCAGCGGCTGCCAACGATTGCTTAGCACATCTGCACAGCAAAACTGCGCCAGATAGCTGTTCAGTATGTCCACGTCGCGTGCATTGTTTAGGCGCCCGCCATATGCCACCGCCTCGCACAGGCGCTGCAGCAGCGTCCAGTCGCAGCGGCCGCTGATCAGCTGCGCATCTAGCCAGCCGAGCACGCCCAACGCCGCCTTCAGATCCGCCTCGCCGAACTCATAGTACTTGGACCAGCCTTGTGGTATATATTGACGGCGCTGCTGGAGCACAGCCTGCAGCAGGAAGAGCACCAGTCGCATCTTCAGGCATTTGGCCGGCAGCTTGGCGGCCAGTTCCGTCTCCAGGCCGGCATAGTTCTGCAGCATGCGCTGCACCTGCTGTTTGAGGCCGCGCGGCTGCTCGTACCGCACCTTGAGGCACTTGTAGACAGCCGATTCGCTGAAGCCGTGCGTCGACTCGCACAGCAGCCAGAGGCGAAAGTCCGGAGATTTGTGCAGCTCGCTTAGCTCACGCTCCATTTGGCCCAGCCACTGAGGCACCAGATGCACATTCTTCACGCACAGCCACTGACCCTGGTTGGCCGCCTGTCGCATGGCCACCAGGGCACGCTGCTCGCTGCCGCGTCCGATGGCCAGCTCCACATACTTTTGGGGGCCCCATTTTTTCAGTGCCACGCCCCTGAGCTCTGTGGCCGGATCCAGTTCGGGCTGACTTATCATCAGTACGGGACGATCGCAGCTGCTCTGCTCCAGCAGCTGCTGCACCGTCGGCTGTGTGGCCGCCTCTGGGGACAAGCCCAGCAATTGGCTGCTCGCCAAACGCAGTTGAGACACCAGCAAATCGGGTCGAAAGATTTGGGACAAGAGCACGCGCTGAAAGGGTGCCTTGATGTGGGCTGTAAAATTAACAAAATATTAAATCCAGGAAGAACCTTGGCAGTCAGGAGTCACTAAATCATTCTTGCTTTTTAGATGAATCTCAAATTTAGGGTGTCCAGCTCAGACGGGTTCGTCTTCGTCTTCGTACCCGCCCATTAGCAAGATTTCTTTTGTCTTCTAACCCAATCAAATGATAAATTTGTTACATTTACTTACGCAGAACATCGTCCGTTTGCTGTTCGATAAAGCCGCGCCACACATAATCCTTGTCCAGTTGCAGCTGGCCACGCAGCTCCGGCAGCTGTTGCAGCAGCTGCGCTAGCTTCAGCTGCGCCTCGCGGCTGATGCAGTCAGGCAGCCCGTTGCCGATCAGCTGTACGCTGCCATCGGCGCTGCCCATGAAATTGCTAATAAACAGTTCCCATTCCTTGACGCCAAGCGCAGCTCCAAAGGCTTGGCGGCAAACCCAAAGGGCCAGCGTTAGCTGACTATCGCGTGGTGTGGCACGCGCCAGATGCAGGTAGACGCTGCGCACGAGACGCTCGTAAAGCTGCTGCTGCGACTCCTGAGCACGCAGTGCGCCCAGAAAGAGCTCGATGTAGACCAGGGCGGACAGCTCGTAGCCCTGCGTGAGGCCGGCATAAAAGTCAGCCGACTGTACGCACAGTTCGCGTAGTGCGCCAAATTGTGAGAGCAGCGTCTGCTTCACCTGGCCGCTTTGCTCCAGTGCAGCATCAATTTCGGCGCTGCTGCGCTTCACCTCATTCAGGCTGGCCAGAAGTGGCTCGTTGCGCAATATATCGCCCTCAGCCTTGGATAGTTGCTCCAACAGTTTGTCCTGCAGTGCCATGCGCTGCTTGATCAGCTCACCCTCGCGCTGCAATAGCTCAATGCGTTGCTGCTCCAATGCGGGATTCTTAAGCACAATCGCCTTGGACATGAGTTGATCTGCCAGGCCGGTAGCGGTCACTGTAAAGCGCAACAGATTGACCAGACTGCGCTGCTCAGGCGGCAGCTGCTGCTGCAAGCGATGCGAGTTGCTGATTAGCACCAATTGGAAATCCTCGTGGAGATCGACCAGTTTACTGGCCACCGCCAATTGGCGCTTATTGAAGCGCACATAGACGTGCCCCTGCAGCAGCTCCAGCAACGGCGGACGCAGCTGTTCGCAGTCCATGACCAGCAGCGTCTTGCCAAAGCGCACGGCCAGCTCCAGTTGATAGCATAGGCGCTCGTTGCCCTGCGTCGTCAGCTCACTGGCTCGTCCCGCAGCACGCAAATGCGCGGTCAGCCACTGTGCCGCCGTCTGTGTGGGATCGAGCAGCAAAGGCACTGGACAACTGCCAAAGGGCAGCGACAGCATCTCCCGCAGCAGCGCGGCGCTCTCAATGATCTGAGCATCGCGCGCCAAGCCTTGACTCTCCCAAATGATTTGCTGCTGCTCGGTGACAAGGGTTTGGCGTAGATCAAAGCCTGTTCCGGGCAGCTGAAAGTCCACGCTCATGCGTTTTATTGAGGCGCTGCGTGGAGGAATGAGAAATAGTTTAATATACCAGACCGATCATTATGTAATTAAAAATATTATTCCTGCTTTAGTTTATTAAGGCCAAGATTTTGATTAATTCCACTTACAATGGTGAAAAATGAGTGGAAGACTACTACTTGAACTTATTATTTAAAAAAAAATGTTTTGATATAATTATAATTTGGCGATAAACCTTTGAAAATTTTACCCTGAAAAGTGGAGTGGAAAATTTCGCATGAAACTTTTTTCTGATCCGATCAACTTTTTTCGCATTTTGTATTAAATGCTCTAGACCGGACATTGTAATTTTTGTAATCAAAAGTTTAAATTGTTTAAGACCGATCGGCTATGCCTGGTCACATTTTATCAATACGATTCCAGGCATATATTTAGAAATCCACCCCTACGGGTGGAACCTAAGTGAAATTCAAATTTCAGCTAGTCTGAATTAATTTTAGTTACTCACCCCCGCTGCTCTACACCCCAGCTCGCATAGTAATTGATGGCCAAAGCGACCAGCAGCATTTTGCCGTCCAGTGTTTTATGAGCTCGCTTCAGCTCCGCCAACTGCTCGCTCCAGGTAGCATACTCTGCGCTTAGTTTGCCCACCAGCAGCTCGGCGGCCTGCAGTGTGGCACCTGCCTCCTGCAGCTTTAGCTCAAGCACGGCCGCCTCTTGCGTGTAGGTTTGCAGCTTTGCGGATAACTTCTGGACACGCTTGTCCACATCGTCCAAGCCGCTGGCCAGCTGCTCCATCTCATTCTCGGCCGCATTTAGATTGCGCTGCAGTTCATTCTGTTCCCGCTCCAGCGGCTTGATGCTCTGAATGACTCGCGCATAACGCACGCTGGCTTGCACCCAGGCGGCGAGTGGTGCAGCTGCTGCTGAGGCGCGTTTGGCATTCTTCGATTCGTAGGAGTCGCCCTTGGCTGCGAGCAAGCGCTCCACGGCTTGACAATTCTCGGGGCTAATGTGCGCCGGATCCAAGGAACGTATATCCTCCTTGACGCCACGCTTTGCCAAAAATGTTTTCATGCTGTTCCACGAGGTGTCGCGTATGCCCATCAGCCGCAGCACGCCCTCCAATATGTCCCGCACGGCTTCAGGTGGTGCGCGCAGCGAGCGTATTTCGGAGAGCGCCTCGGATTTGATTTGACCCACTGCATTGCTGGCCTCCGCCAATATGGGCTCCACCTCGGCTAGTTCCTGTTGTATCTCGCGCTGTCGCAGCTTCAGCTGCTCGCTGCTTTGCTGCGTCTGCTGCTTCAGTTCCAGCATATTGGACTTTTGCTCATTTGCATTGTGCATCGTGGCTGAGATCATTTGCAGCGCATCATTGGCCAGCTGGCGTTTCTCACCCAGCGCCTGTTCCTGGGCCGATGCATTCGACTTTAAGGTGTCGACAAGCGCATGGGCAGCGGCTAACTTGTCCACGCCCTGCTGCAGCTTGCCCAGACGCTGATCAATCTCAGCGGCGGCATTGCTATACATATGATAATAACTACGAATCAGCTGATAGTAGCGATGCGCCGGCTGTTCCGGCGGCAACTCCTCGGCCACGTCTGAAAAATGACTGCAAACAGGCACTTTGCCACGCCCCGCAGCCACAGACGCCTCATTGAGCAGCTCGATGTATTGCTTTGGCAGCATGGTTAGAGTATCCCGCGACTCTGGCCGCACATAGAGCATATCCATCTGGCGATGCAGGGCTGGGCAGCTATTAAAGTACTGCGCCAGCTGTGGACTACTCGGCTCCAGCACGAGCACCAAATGCAGATGCTCTCGAGCGCCTGTAAATCATATTCATAAAGAGTACTTTTTATTTATTAGCTGTTCATTGCACTCACGCTTCATAAAGTACGCGCCCAGCGACTCCTGATAGCCCTCCAGCTGCGCCGCCTGCTTTAGCGCGCTGGCCACCGTCTCCAGATCATCGCCAAAGAGCTCCAGAATTTCACTGCCCTCTAACAGTGCTTCAATCGGTTTCAGTATGTCGGGCACATAGTTGAGCCAACTGTGTTCGATCAGCAGATAGCACATCTGCTGCTCCAGCGCTGCCGTCTGCATGGCCAGCTTGAGATCGTTGTAGAATTCTGTTAGACCATAGCTGGCGCCGCCCTGTATTGTCAATACTTTGGCCTGCTGCAGCGTGGCAGCCGCATAAATGGCATCCAGGTGTCGGTCACCGGCCTCAGCCAGAATAAGCAAATGTGCATCGTTTCTGGAGAGGATGCGTGCCACTTTGGCCGTGTGATGTAGCAGCTCTTCCGTGATAGGCGATGAAATGTTGTAGTTTTCGGCATCTGAAATAATAATAGCCATATAGAAAACCAATTATATATATATATCTACAGCCTTAACATTCGTAAGCTATCAGAGTTTAAGTGCTGTCAGTTAACAGCGTCACTTTAACATAATCCACTCTGTAAATATACTGAACATTAGCTAATACTCCTTCACGCATCGGCATTGAAGTTGTCTTCACATTACATTCGATACATTTATTTCCTTTTCCACTTTAAACATAACACGTTTTGTGAGTCGAAATTGTTTCTGTTATTTTCTACCCGTTCTCTATGTACTTGCAGTGGATGACCCCCGAAGAGGAGGCACGCCAAAAGTTCATCATGCGGGAACGGGATCGGGAGAGAAAGCGCATCAAACGCATGAATCCCGAATATCGACAAATGGAACGTGAGCGGGATCGATTTCGCAAACAGACGCCAAGGCCCAGTGTAGTTATCCCGATTCATATTGCATTGTTCTTTTGTTTTTCCTTACTTGCTCTCTGAACTGCTCATATCTTGAAACCGCAAAGATTCAGCGACATCATCTACTCAGTTCCAAGGGAAATGTACAACTTCAACTTCGATGCGTGACTCAAATAGAAACTCTAGACTGGACAAGAGATAGATATGTTGTGGACAAGTCCGATTGATCAAGTAGATCACGAGTTCAGGGCTTTAACTTTTACTCTTAATTTTTGGAGGTCAAAAAACTATAAACAGAAAAGGCAGAAAAGAAGACCACGTGAGGTAGTGAAAAGGTTAGAAATATTTTATATATATATACAAGTAGGATAAGTAACAGATAAATAGATAGAATAAAGTAAAAAATTTGTGTAATTTGAGAAACTACTCAGATTTAAATAGAATAATTAATTAAGTTCAGATGAAAGATTTTCAATAATTCGTTAGAAAACTCGGAAATCGATTAAGGCCTTTAAAATGATGTTTATGAAGGATAAATATATAAAAATACAGGCAAAATGTAAATATAGGATTAGGAGAAAACGTTGAAAGCTCAATGAAATGTGAACTTAATTAAGGCGAGGACTTTTCGATAAAAGTAATGATTATATATTGCCCTAAATCTTTCTACTACTTACTGCAAATTGTAATTTGCCTGTGTACCTCCTCCAGCCACTCATCATGGGTCAGACCATGCAGCTGTCCTTTCGATTTAGGCGACTTGGGCACAAAGTAGATTTTCTGTCACGAATTTAGAACTATTAACAAACATGAAGTTGTGGGGTCAAGCTTAAACTCACCTCTTTGCCAAAGTATTTGCGCATAGTTTGCTTCAATATCGTCTCAAATTGCTGAACATGCTCCTCACTGGCCAATCGGTCCCTAAACATGCCCAATAGCTCGCAGTACAAAGCCTACACACCACAGGCAGAGCAGAAAAAAGTCAGACGGCAATTCAATTAGCCCAAACTAAGCCACTTACCTCATTGAAGTCAGTCGACGGGTAGTAAACGAGACCCGCAGTTAGCTTCATAATGCACTTGGGGCTAAACTGATAATGCAACTGCTGCTGCTGCTGCTGCTGTTGGCCAGTGGAGGCAGTAAAAGCGGCCTGCAGCTGCAAGGAAAACGAGATAAACAAATCAGCAAAGAGCAAAATTCAGGTACAATTCCTTTACCTTTTCGAAGCACTCCATTAGGCACTCGCTAACATGCTGTAAATTGATGGGACTGCCGCCGCTCGTTGCCCTGAAATGCGTATGGAGCAAAGGCTCGAGGCGACACTGCACGATGGCCAGCATATCGGATGGACTGGGTCGAGCCACTCGTACATATTGATTGATGGCCAAGTAACGGGGTGAAATTTTTAACAAATTGCCGCTAATGGACGCACAAATTTGTAGCCCACTGACGCTAATCCATTCCAGATTGTCCGCATAGAAGCCGCCGCGTTGCACTAGCTGCAACAGCAGTTCCACAATCTCACAGGCGCCCCAATCATCCAGCTGGCATAGATCTAGATTCTTCATGAACAGCAACAGACGCGATTGTTTGGGCCTATATTCCCGCCCCCGCACGCCGCTTACCGTGACACAGTGCGTGCGCAGCGTGTGCAGCACATAGCCAGCGGTCAGCTGTGTGGAGCAATTAATGCTGGCCAGCTGATAGCCCGAATGCTCCAACAGCGCCTGCTCCAACAGCAGCGTCTTGCCCGCTCCACTGGGTCCGATGAGCATAAACGGCATAGCCCGACCGGCGGGCAGCTCCAGCAACGAGCTGATGATGTTTAGATACGACTTGACATAGCCCGTGACTATTAGTTGACTATCCCGTTCGGGAGTTTCCATAACCCCCAGGGCATACTGCTCCAATGCGCTGCGCTGCGGCTCATAGTAGCTCAGCTCTGCATGATTGGGCTGCGCCACGTACAGATTCGCCCGCTGCAGCACCAGCTGAGCAAAGTCACGCTGTCGCTCGCTGGGAATGTAGCCAAGCATTGCACGCAATGTGGCCGCTCCATACTCCTCAAGGCTCTGGCTATTGTGCAGCTGCAGCAGCAGAGATCGTAACACACTGACACGACTTATGCCGGGCATCAGACTATTGGAAAAGTAGAGGGTTATTAGATGATGAGATTTTAGTTTATCTAATTGTAATAGTTCACATTTGATGAAATTTTGCACGCATTTAATAGAGAATTCTGAATTCAATGATAACTGATAAACGAATTTATCTCTTAATCCTGAAATCAAGCATTCATGCTCGAAATTCATGCCACGGCAGTATTTGTGATGCTATTTAAATTCTTGAAAATGGGCCTATGTGGACTCCATTTAAATATATGAAAGCATGACCTACGCAGACAACCAATATATATATAGAAATATATTGTAGGTCAGCGTAGGTCAGGTTTAGTTAATTATCATCTATCAAGGATCATTGACTTAAATTCTGTTTGCCCATTCAATACCTTCCCCTACGTACCTCAACAAATTTTCACTTTCCAGCCATTCGAAAGCTGTTTGGAAATTTCCATCAATGTAGCTTTGCAGTAGATCGCCATATGGTTCCTTTTCAAGCTCATGCTTAAGCATTTCCTTTAAGGGATAATGATCGTAGCTTTAAAAACAAATTAAGATTAGTAGACTGTGACTTGTTTAGTTGTATTCTGAAAACCACTTACCTCATGTTCACAATGCCCATTCGGGATATAGTTGCCGGGGAGGCGTGACGCACATCGTCCGTTTCGAATATAAAGTTGACATTGTTGCCGAACTGTATGCGCCAGCCGGAGGGCAGCGTTAGGAGTCTGCGAAATGTTTCAAGATATGATTGGTTAACAAAAAACAACACACAAAAATACAACAGAAACAATTTGTAAAACCCTGCTTTTGACATGTATATGTCTAACGGCTGTTAAGCACATGTTAAACTGACGCTGTTAATAACAGAAACGAACACATTTGCTTAACATTTCTTAATATATAGTTTATTTTTTGATTATTTCGACTGTTTAGGCAAAATAATTTCTAGAATCTCCCAATATGTTGTTTTATTGAGCTTTCCAGGGATTTTCTTGACATGTTTATGTTTAATGGCTGTTAACGGGCATACATGTTAAACTGGCGCTGTTAGTAAAATTGATAAAAGAGCGCCTTTTATGCTCAAAATTTGATTTAACAGTTCTCGCTCGCTCGAGTTGATCAAAGTTAAAATAAACAATTTTAATTTGTTAATATAATTTACTTAATTTGAAATGTTATGTATTTGGAGAAAGCACTGGTTCTAATTTCTAAAATTTCTTCAAATTGATTAGCCTCAGACATATACATGCTCAGCTGCACAAATTCTATGCCATCTTCTGTTCTGTTCTGTTGAACTTTGCTTAGCGCTCTTTAGGGCTGTACTTTAGTTCTGGTATTTAATACTCTCTGCTCAGGCGACTGCTACAAAAAACAAAAACGCTTCCCATCTCTATATTGCAGCTGATGACACCCGAGGAGGAGGCGCGCCACAAGTTCATCATGCGCGAGCGAGATCGAGAGCGAAAGCGCATCAAGCGCCTGAATCCCGAATATCGGCGTATGGAGCGCGAGCGCGATAGATTTCGCAAGAAGGCACGACGTGCTAACGTAGCATTTTTCCAATATATATTTCTAAATTATATATATAAAACACAAGTGCACACACACGAACACAAATACACACACACACACACACACACACACACACACACACACACACACACACACACACACACACACACACACACACACACACACACACACACACACACACACACATACGCAGACACACAGACAGACAGCACCAGCTAGTTTTAAGTAGTTGAAAATATTGAACCTGGGTTGGGGTTTACTTTAGTTTTTTCGTTTGTTAAATTTACCACACGACTGCTGACCTTCAATACAGAGTACAATATCCCCCAATTGCTTGAGCCAGCCACATTGTGCTTTAATAAGTTTTCCCCGCTTCTATTCGACTTTCAGTTGACGCCCGAGGAGGAGCTGCGCCAGAAGATGATACAGCGGGAACGGGATCGCGAACGGAAACGAATCAAACGCATGAATCCCGAATATCGCCGTTTGGAGCAGGAGCGTGATCGTGATCGAAAGAAGGCGAGACGCGCCAACGAGGCGTTCCGGCAGCTGGAAAAGCTACGTGATAAGATACGCAAGGAGCGTAAGAAGGGTCTCCTGGTGACTGATCCCACACAATTGCCGCCCGAATTTGCGGGCATTATACCGCCAGTGCCTGTTGAGCCTGAGGTGATTATATCGACGCCGCAGACACAGCAACAACAGCAACAACAACAACAACAACAGCAGCAGCAGCAACAACATCAGCAGCAGCAGCAGCAGCCATCCACACACCACCAACAACAACAGCAACAGCAGCAGCATCAGCTTGCCGCAGCAGCAGCAGCGGCGGCGGCAGCGCATCAGCAGCGACGCCGCAACATGTCCGCCCATATGCCAATGGCGACGTCCGGTCTGAACAGCGCCACGCTGACGCAGCTAACGGCGGCAGCGGCGGCGGGCAATGCGGCCATGCATACGCCCGCTGGTCATGCCACGCCCACGCATCTACAGCAGCTGAATAAGCTGCAACAACTGTATCCGCCGCCCAGCTTTGGGCATCCCGCCCTGCCCATAGCCGGCGTCACGCTGATGCCACAGCTCTGCCATCCCATATTGCATCAGAATTTGGGCGCCACACTGTATCCGGCGCCACCGAATGGCATCAAGCAGGAGTACGGCCAGGATGTGAGCAGTTTAAGCGCTGCAGCGGCGGCCGCTGCTGCCACAAGTTCTGCCTCGGCCGTGGCCGCCGCACAGGCGGCGGCGCTGGCTTCGCTGCGGGGCGGACCGCAGCAGCAGCAGCAGCCGCCGCCGGATGAGCCCGATATGGCGCTCAACCTGGAGCCGGAGATAATATTGCAAACGCCAGCCGATGTCAATCCCGCGCAGCAGCAACAACAGCACCACTTCAATGCGCACCAGCAGCAACAGCAGCAGCAACATCATCTGCAACAGCAGCAACAACAGCAGCAGCAGCAGCAGCATTGCAACATGTTCCAGCACATGGCGCCACAGGCGCACATGCAGCACATGCGTGCCGCGCCGCTACCGCCACCGCCCACCGTGGCGCTGCCACCGCCACCGCCGCCGCCGGCGACGCATCAGCAGCAGCCGCCACAGCCGCCGCCGCCGTCGCAGCAGCAACAGTTGCAACATGCGCAGCAATGAGAGAATTATGCACTCGACTTTAGTTCTTAAGCTCAACTAGCCACAAACGCATTTCAAATTTCAATTTCATGTTTATTTTTTTAAGAGTGAAGAAAGTAGGCAAGCGGGCGGGAGTGTGTACTCACAGGTTGCAGTTGTGTGCGAACTAGTTCGGTGAATCAACTTTGTTTTAACTAATTATGCGAGATTTCTTAAGCGGATTTGCAAAATGTGCTTAAAATAAAATTAAGTTTAATTCTATTCACAAACACGTTTGAGAATTCTGGCATATTTAGTCATAAGAAGCTAAAGTGAACGGATTTCGTATGAACTAAACTAAATTAGTTTAGATTTCTTAGGTGCTTGTGTTAAGGCGAACTAGCCAATTAGAAAGTGCCAGTTCAAAACAATACACAAATGTATATTTATTTACTATACTAAACGAAGTTCTCTAAATTGTTCAAAAAAATTGACAGCTAAGTAGCTGAGGGAAGCTGGTTCCCTAGAAAATCTTGGTAGCTATTTTAATGAACCAGCTCCATTGAACCTAAACTCAGTTCAGCAAAATTTATACACAAATTTATATGTATTAGTCATACTAAATTAAGTTCTCTAAATTGTTCCGAAAATTGACAGCTAAGTAGCTTATGGAACCAGCTTAGAGCAAATTGGTTGCAAATTTAAAGAACCAGTTCAATTGAACCCAGACTTAGTTCAGCATAACTGTTAACAACACTCTTCCGCTGGCGCGCACACACACACACACACACAAAACAGACTCATGTTCAATTTAAGAATGGAGAGAGACTCTTTGACGTCATTTATAAAATGACGTTACGTTGTGTATTACACTTACTACGTTACGTTACGTTACGTTATTGTTTTAGTGGGCTTCCCTCATTTTATATCATCGTTTTGAGCATTTCTAAGTTATAAGTACTTTGTTTTTGGTAGCTAAGTGATAGGGGATGCATTTGCCCATCCGTACAATACAATACTTGCAACATTAAGATACGATACGATATATGATAATTGATATGTTTAAAAATAATATATATATCACATACGATATATACATATATTATGATATACATGGTCATGGTATATGACAAGCCGCAAATAGTTATTACGAATTTATGCGCAGGTACGAGCAAAATATATTAGCAAAAGCTGTTGCTAAACACTGAAAGGAATCCTCTTTGATTTGAAAATAACTTTCACTTATGCAAATGGAAAATGGCCGGAAAATTATGGTAGTGTACATCTAAAAATGTTTGAAAGCCCCTAACTTTTGTTAGAGATTCTATGAATTTGGAAAATCGATTTGAAAAGAGAGCTGCAAAATCTGATCAAAAATTGGTTTTCCTTGATACGTATTTAAAAATGAACAAACACTCAAGACATTGAAACTATTTAAAATCCACCATTCAGAGTGAAAAGGGCGTGGAAAACTGTTGGAAAATTTCAAGGGAAAAGTCTGGCATGCCAAAGTAATGCTATATTTATATATCAACAATTAGTACTCACTTGTTATCGTCCAGTACCGAGTTTAATGCCTCAATCCACTCGGGATCAATGCTGCCATCGCACACAATCCATGAGCGCACGTGCGACGGCTCCTGATTGACCAGCACAGCCGTGTGGGTGAGAACGCCGTCTAGCCACTGTCGCGTGTCCGTGTCCAGTCGCCCCAGCAGTTGCACACGACTCATCGACTTGGGACTGATGGTGTGCACGCGCAGCTGTGTGCCAGTCGTTGCGGTCAGTGCCTGACGCAGCAACAACAGAATGCTAGACTTGCCACAGCCGGGTGGGCCCACTAGCACAACGCCCATGCGCTTCTGGAGCTGTTCATGCAGCTGCAATGCCTTCTCAATTTGCCTGTCGTTGGCACAGAGGCCTAGTGGAGCAAAGGCGGCCGTCAGTGCCTGATGCAGCGGCGTCAACGGTGCCTCAGAGGCGCCAATTTCCGGAAACACATTTAACAGCAACATTTCGAAGCACTCAACGTCCTGTTGCGCCAGCTTGGACATGGTTGATGAGCGCAGACAATGGACAGCAATGCGCATTTCATCATTACCAATCGCCGACGGACTTGGCCTGGCATCCGAATGCTCATTAACGGGCGTTCCCGCTAATTGCGCGCGCAGTCCCTCGCCGCAAACGAGCAGCACTGTTTTCAGTTCGCGCAGTCCCCAATCGTAGTGCCGCTGGGCGGACAGCATTTTACTGCAAAGATCGAATAGCTCCACAATGCGCTCCGCAATATCCGCTGCAGCCACAAAGCCCTCCACGAACAACATGACGCGTGCAATCTCGCCCGGCTCTGGCTGTTGCATGACAATTGGTCGAAAGAGCGCCTGAATATTGCCGGGCAGCTTCTGTCTCCCACCGTATTCGCCACCCGCTGGATTTAGGGTCACAAAAATGCCGCAGTGCTGGTTAAGCTGAACCTGTTAAGAGTATAAATCGCATTATTAAAATTCTGATTAATAATTAAATAATGATTAACCATACAACAATGATCTATCATTCTAACTATATATGGATTTATCAATATTTCAATCCATTAGTCAATCACAATACATCAGATTATTAATATTACAATCCGACCATATATAATCTTATATTAATACATCAATACAATTAATGAATCCATTAGCGTATCAATCTATCTATTCATCAGTCTATTAAAATATCAACCCATCAATATCAATCAATTTCTCTACCACTACTTCAATATAACAGTCAATCAATCCTTTGCACAATTAATACATAAATTCATCAACCTATTAATATATAAATCCATGAATGTATCAATTAAGTTTTCTATCATTTCATAAATACAACAATCGAACAATCCCTCAGTCCATTGATTGAAAAGTACATCAATTCCTAAAATCTATCATTTTCTCAATCTATCAATCTATGTTTGCCATTTGCCAACAGGCAATGGGTCTGAGACCGGCAAGTTGCTTCTAACTTAACCCCAATTGAAATGAACCTTGTGGCCGGCCATTCATCATGTCTCACCTTGCGGTCGCCAATCTGCACGCTGTCCGCCTTGTCCTTCAGGGCACTCTGGATGGGCTGTATGAGCATGGATATGGATGATAGAGTTGCCTCCTGTAGCCTATTGAACTCATCAAAGCAACCCCAGGCGCCGCAGCGCGCCAAACCGGTAAGGATTAGGCTCATCGCTTCAGTGTCCACATTCTGCAAGCGCACGCACACACAGTTCCGACATTATGACAAATTGCAAATGGAGGCGTGGCAACTCACCTCATCGCAATTGAAAACCAAAACGAGACGTCCCAGCATACCTCCTAGCGCCTTAACGCATTCCGTTTTACCCGTGCCCGCTGGGCCAAAGGGATTACCGCCGAGGCCCATGTGCATGGCCTGTGTGAGTATAAGATAACATTTGTGCGTCAGACGTGTGTGGACCAGCTTATTGGCATGTCCCAGAAACTCGTAGGCGTATTCAAATTCCGCATAAACCATGCGCACCCACACCTGGCGTGCATCCTGCCCGCCGCCCAGATAATATCTCAGCTGACTCAGCCAATGCCAGTCACTGGTGTGCATTACATTATGCTGCTGCAGCTCCTCCAACACGCCAACATAATGCACCAGATCCAGCAGTAAGGCGCTCAGCTTAAGCCATTGCAAACTGCCGCCTGTCGCAAGCTGTTTCATGGCCGCCAGATGAGCTATTTCTGCTTTGAGCTGCTGCTGCAACTTGGCCAGCGACATGCCCCCAATGGCCTTTTCCGTCTGACGCGTAAAGTGTAGGGCACGCGCTGTGGCCAGCACCTGGCTGGCATATTGACGCAGCAGCTGCTCGCTGAGATTATCGCTGGAGCCGTTGGTGTTGTTGTAGCACTCGTAGATCTGGCTGCGCAGCGTCTCCTGCACGGCGGCCACTAGCTCGTTAAGCCAGCGCTGTCAGAGTTACAAACAAGAGAGATGAATCGATAGCTTAACATGTTTACAGCCCGCTCGCTTACCTCAATGTCGCCCGTCATATTGACGGCTTGGCTCAGGCGCAGTTCATCGCCCTCGGCGCTGTGCACGGCCAGAATTCTGTAGTGGCTGCCATTGGCTGTCTGTTCTATGCCCAGACTATGACAGCCCGGAAAGAGTTTGCGTATGTGGCGCTTTATGATGTCCGCATCCTTCGACGCCTGACCCAGCAGCTCGAGCAGATCGTCGTCGCCCAGAAAATAGAAACGCGGAAATGAACTGCGTTTGTCCTGTAAAGAGATAAAGTGGTGAAAAAACATTCTTTTTAAATGTATTAGTACTCATGCCCTCGCTTACCGTTATATAGCTCATCAGATTTTGCTGGCAACGCGCCAGCTGAGTTTCCAGCGCATTGACAATGGTGCTTATATTGTTGATCTTCAGCAGGGACGTCACGCGCGGATCCATTTGTATCTCACGCATCACATAGCGAAAGTCCTTGTCGATGCGCTTGAACAAGGCGTGCTCCTGCTGTAGGGTTCCAGCGCCAAAGACAGGCTCCAGGTAGACCCAGCTGTAAGTAGGCAAGGCATGGTTAAAATTGCCAAAAGGATATCTTTATCAATCAACTAACTAACCGTCGCTGGGAATGGCTCAGACTGGTGAGCAGCACATCGAGCGTATTGAGGCGACTCTCCCAGAGACCCGCCTGATCTGAGAAGCTATCGAAGGCGGCCGAGTTTTTGGCCGACTGCAGCAGCGACTGGTTGTCGCCAATCTTGTTCAGCACCTCCTGATAGTCCTTGATCAGGCACACAGGCTGCCCGGTGGCATCCTTGCGCTCAATTAGTTTGAGCTGCGACGTCACCGACCACTGATCAAGCTCCACGAGCGCCTGCCTGACTATCTGCTCCGATGCTGCCTGCCGCACAATGTTGCCAATCTCCGGTGCAGCTGCCTGCAGCGCACCCATGTCCTCCAGCAAATCCTGCAGCTGTATGGCATGCAAAGGCTTCGAATGAGTTCTATGCAGCAGCTGGAATATAATTGCCCAATGGCGTTCGCTGATCGCATCCGATTGCAGCTGCTGGAGAATGGGCATTGTGGCCTGCAGACGCTCCACCTGCTGGCGTATGCGCTTCGAGGGTAGATCAATGGAGGCGTGCACCGAGCCCTCCCAGCGCGCGATGAACTCGTTGAGCACATACGGACGCCGTCTATAAATGGCCCAATCCTCGTGCAATATGGGCTGCAGTTCGTCTAGAAATGTATCATACACCTTCCACTGCTGTGACTGCTGCTCCAGCTGGGCATCGATGGCAGCAAAGGGAGCTAGTGCATCTTCGGGAAATTCCATGTTAAATTTGTGACACTCGTCAAGCAGGTGCTGCTTCTTCAGCTGCAACTGTTGCCAGTGAGCGCGACGCTCCTTAAAGAGCTCCAGGCTGGCCGAATCGTTGGCCTCCAGCTCGGCTATGGTGGACTCCCATCGCAGCAGAAACTTGTCCGCCTCGTTGCGCAGATTTTGCAGCTGCGTGTGCGCCTGGGTTTTGATCATGTCCACTTGACGCTGCAATATGACCGCATGGTTCTCCAGCAGCGGCTGCAGTTGCTCCCACTGCAGCATGATGGGCGCCAGGGCGGTGACACGCTCCTTGCACCAGCCCGCCAGGCAGGCATCCTTCTCACGCACCAGCCCCAGTGTGCTGCTGATCTGCGGCAGCTCGCTCATGATCTTCTCATACTTCATGCCCGACTGACTGATGCTGCCCTCGTCCATGGGCACGTTCTGCAGGAACTGCAGCGCATTCTGCAGAAACTCCTGCACGGCGCCCACATCGTTGAGTATCGATGCACGCAGACTATTCGCGAGCGCCTCCCAATAGCGTCGACTCAGGTATTCGATGTCGGTGCGCAGCGGCAGAACATTGATGACAATGCAGTCGATGGACTCTTCCGATTGCTGCAGCTTGGCCAGCTGCTGGCTGAACTGTTTGCATGCACGAAAATTGCTATCCCAATCGGCGGCTTCGTTTAGATGAATGCCGCACAGCTGTTCCACATCGACACAGCCCAGCGCTATCCAGGGCAGCCAGATGCGTTTGAAATCCTCCAGCTTGTCGAACAATTGTGTGGCACGTGCATACAGCGGACCAAAGTGATGGCGATTCAGCGTCACCATGGTCTGAAAGAGGGCGGCGCTGTGCTCGGACAAGCCTCGAAAATTGCACGGCCGCTCAATGAAGCGTCGCAGCTGCGAAAAATACAATTCGCGTATCTCCTCCTCCGGCGGACTGTAGCAGAGCTGACGCTGTCGCAGCACCAGCTTTATATGTATATCCGGCAATTTGTTGTTCATGTCAAGCAGGCCGAGTATATACTGATACTCCAGCACCTTGTACAGCTGATGGTCCCAGTGCAGCTTGAAGGCATCCAAATTGGTATAGCCCTGGCGCTCGAGTGTGGCCACCAGTTCGCGCAAATGACGCAATTCATCCTTCCACACTTGATTTTGTGTCAAAAGATCCGTGCCCATGAGCTTCATGACCTAGAATAGCACACAACTCAGTTAATTTTCCTTTCTTTCTTTCCAGCAGCCAGAACTCACCGTGCGCTTGGCCTGCTCATGATAGCCCACCAGCAGTGTGTTGTCTGCGGAGAGCTTGGACACTGCCCCTTGCAGGATGTTCACATAACGCTGCACCGAGTCCTCATCCTGCCAGGCAACCGTTTCGCTCTGCACCAGACGCTGCAGCTCTAACGCATTCTTCAGCATAATTGGCCGCTGACAGGGTATCATGCGATCGCCAATGGTATTGTGGAATGTCGCAATTTGTTGCAATCGTCGCGCATAGCACATGTACTTGGCGGCGTGTGTGGCCGCCGAGCGCACTTCGAGGGGCACAGTGTAGCCCAGATTCTCGAACTCGCGCACATCCTGGCAAAAGGTAACCAGCTTGGGGTTAAAGGTGACACGCATCAGCTGACGGCCCTCCTTCTCAAACTTGACAACGGCCTGATCGTCGCGCAGCCTGTACATATAAGAAGTATGAAAATGTGAGCTGCTTTAATAGATGCATATTTACTTAAGTTCTCCACTTTTTACAGCTGTGGAGCATTGACCCGACCAGATCTCGAAATTGGCGCGCAGCAGCGATTCGGTCTCCTCCTTGATCTCCTGCACCGCTTTGTTGACCTTATCGAAGCCCTCGCGGCCACTTATCAAGTGGCTGACCTTCTCGATCTCCTGTATTTGATACTGCACCACCTTGAGCCAGCGGCACTCGTTGCATATGACCGACAGGTGACCCGTATCGGGCTCCATATTCGTGTCGGTCATGGCCTTGCGCAGATCCTGCAAAAGCAAATGCAGCGATTGCAGGAATTGCTCACGCTCAATGCTGAGCAGCTCCAGTACGGCGGGTCTTTGTATGAGCATCTCGTATTTGGAGAATATGAAGATGACCTGACGCGGATTGCTCAGATGATGATGCAGCTGCGACTTCAAGGCGGCGGCCATGCGCTCATCAATCGGCTGCAGCACCTGCTCGAAATGCTGCAGCGCCTTGTGCCATTTGGCCTGACCCGAGGGCGAGGTGTCGAATATATTGAAATCTGTGGTGAAAGAGCGCAAGCTGTTTGCATGCATTCAATGTGAATTCCCAGCTACTCACCATTAAAGGCCGCCTGCTCCTGGAACATCTCCTGCAGCTCGGCATCGTTGAGCAGCGTGGCGATTTGCTTGTACAGCTGCTTGATGTTGCGTATCTCGCCGAGGCGCTCCTTGAACTGCTGGCCGCGACGCGGCACATGCGGCTCACCCAGCCAAGGATGCTTCACATAGTTGGGCCAAAAGAGGCGAGTCAGCGAATCGCACAGCTGCATCCAGGCATCCACAGTGTCCATGCACTGACTCATCAGATTGTTGACATGATACGAGTTCAGACACCAAATATCCTCCGCCAGCAGCTGCACCAGGCACGCCTCCAGCAGCCGATTGCCCATGATGTCCAGCAGATCGGCCATGCGCTGCTGCGGATAGTTGTACGGCAGCCGCCACAGCTCGTCGAGATTGTTGTGCGCATGATCGAGGAATTCCTCGATGCGGCTGCTCGAATTGCCGCCGCTGTCGATGGTGCTGCACGTTTTTTGTTGCTTATAAAATTAACATAACTTTCAACAATTTGCCAAAGTACTTACCTAATTTTCTGCTCAATATTTTCCAGCAGGCCAATGAATACCTGCGCCGTCTCGCGATCAAGGCGCGAACTAGACTTTTGGCCCAGCTTATGTTTCCAGTATTTAATCTCATCTTTTATGCTTGTTATGCCTGTAATTATGATTTTTCATAAAAAGCACGCGCCAAAATTACGTAACACGCGCGCTTTAATAGCAACTCCCGTTAGATTGTGAAATTCGCTAAGCCCAGTGTGACCAAATGCTGCACTGAAATGCTGTGCGATAGTTGATGCGTTTCCAATAAGCCGCATTTGCGAGCGTATTATATTATGCCCAAGACATGCCTTTACTTTTCGATTATGACTTTCTTGTAAGTATGGGTCGTTTAAAGGAACATAATAACTAAGATTGCCAACTTTGGCGTAGTGAGTACAGCTCATGCAAAGCAACAGTGCTTGAGATGTGGTTTTGTGAGTATGCTGCATTTGTGATTTGACTACAGTGGATAAACTTTATTTTGCCTGATGCTGCCTATCGATAAGCGTGATCAGCTTAGTGTTCGATAGGCCAGTCTATCGCGTTTGTTGGAATCTAATGGGCATAAGTGCAAATAAAAGTGTTTGTTTTTTGTTTTTTTTGCAGTGAAAATAAGTGCTAAATAGTGATTAAGAAAGTGAAATGGAAGTGTAATGAAATGCTGAATGCATTAGTGTATTTAATAGCAATGCAGTTTGTGCGTCTAAAACAGTGCGAACCGCTGCTGAACACAAAAAGTCGCAAGCGTGGAAAACCCAATTGGAATACTTGGAATATTGGAATATTGGATTTTGGGTAAGTTTGAAGCATAATTATGTAATACTAAGTCAATGCTGCGCTTACCGCTCTGTGGCAAACCCAATGTGGAGCCCAGCGAGACATGCAAATTCTCCAAGAGGCCGCTCAGCTCAGGACTATATTCGTTGCGCTTCAAAAGAACATGGATATAGGATATAAAGTAATATATAAAACAAATTGCATTCGGCATTGGCAAAATGAAATTGCAAAAAGAATTGAATTATGTGCAAATGCGATTAAAATGCCGCTTGCAGCAAACCACCCCACCCCTCTCCCCCCGCTCAGCGCCTACTCGAGAAAGTGGATCTGGGCAAACAGCAAAATAATTTAAAGTCCAACTGGAATTAACGTATAAACTACATACGACTACGAGTTCCAATCAGATACAGTGAGCGCTCTTCTAAGTGGACACCTACGTTTTCTCACCTGCTTTTTATTGCCAAATGTGCGCTAAGAAAACGAGATAGTCAGCTTAGCCTCGGCCCGCCGAAGATTGAATACCCTTGTAAAGATAACCCTAATGTTTGTGAGAATAATAAAGCTACTTTGATATAGTTATCCGATGTCGATAAAATTTCGCAATATAGATAAGGATCATAGTGAAACATATATATCTGGATATTTGGAATATCAAAAAAGTTGTCCAAGCTAGAATCTACTCTTCTACTCTAAGTTCCTATGTAAACTTTATGATATAGTGGCCAGATCCTATCGATATATGTACTGACTGCAACAGAAAGACGGTCGTCTCTTATTTGATCTCCAAATTATAATACCCTCTGCAAGGGTATACAAAAAGTGTATAATGCCACATCTCTGAGCCCAGACCCTGGTTCAAGCCTTGCGTCAGACATTTTTCAAAATTTTCCATAAGTTTTGTTCAGGATATAGCTGTTCGTCTGTCGAGCTTTTACTGTATATAGTTGATGCACGTGTGGGAACTTACTCGGGCGGTGGCATGGGGCGAAAAGACACGTGAAACGGAATTGTAAATGGATTTAACCAGGCCACCCTCCAGTGTTAATATGCCCAACGGTGGTTCGACATCTCCTCCGTGCCCGTTGCCGTTGCCGTTGCCGTTGTTGCCAGCGCCATGTCCCACCTGCGGCACCTTGTAGAAAAGTAAACAGACTTCGTCGCTGGGTATGCGATGTTGAAATTTGATTTTGCCATCGGATTTATTATGCACGGCCGAGATAACCGTGTGCTCCTCCTGCTCTAGAAACTCCAATATAGTCGCTGTTTGTTCATCCAATTCCGTGCCCGGAATGCGCGCTGCAAAATATTCAACTGGGCGGCGATATAAAAAAAAAAAAGAATTTAGAGCAGAATTGCAAATTTTATAGTTTTCCGGCCAAATCTTTAACATGCAACTTGAACTATCTTATTGTTACCCGATGTATTTATTATGAATTTTGTGCGCTGACTCATCGCATTATATATCTGTATATTATATAGATATAGATATGTTTTTTAACTTTTGCTCTGCCTCGTTTGCACTTTCAGTTTTCACTGAAACTCTTTCACTTTTGCTCGCAATGAAACTCAATTTGTTGTTCCTTGCGGTTGGCCCGGGCAACACGAATATCGTTGCCAGGGACTACAAAGTTGTGGGTAACTATTTCCCTGAATGTTTTTCTGTTTGCACCTGTTGTTGTTTTTTCTTCGACACGTGCAGTGGGACGGGGTGGGGGGGGGTAGGGTTGGTTGGTTAAATGTTTGCTGACATTACCTCAATCCGTTTACAGTGCCTGCTAATGAAACTGAGCGTTGACCTCTCAGAACGGCTGGCACTAAAAATGCCTCAGCAGGTTTATATCATTTGAATGTCCATTAATTGAATTGCCGAAGCGTGCTCAGGTGCTCGCCTCGAAGTACGTCCACGAGGCACAACATCAGCCAAGTCACGACACGGCACGATATCAACAAACTTTATGGCCATGTCAGAGCTCCAAAGAGCAGCTGCAGCAGCTCAATATTGACAGGCACTGTAAGAGCAGCCTTTAGGAATCGGCTGCTCTCTGCGAAGCGTGCACAGTTCGAGGGGAAAACAACATACATTGGCTTGGTTGGAAAAGTTTCCATTTTTAAGTATTGTTTAAATTTATAAAGCTTTCAAGCGTCAGAACATGTTTGAATATTAGACAAGGATGGATTTTCTGTTCCACATATAGGCATGCTTTAGTTTAGTTATTTTTTTCCCCGGATTTTTTTAGAACGTGACTTGCACAACTTTAGTCTTAATTACAGGGTATCTGCTAGATACACTAAACTTAATAATTTGATTGCAGGGCACATTAAAAAATTGACTCTAGAAACTATCTCGCTTGAACACATTGCTGAACGAAATTAGTTTAAGCCAATTAATCCCATAAGCTTAAGCTGTTGATATTGTATATGCTTTCTGATATTCCCTAATTTGATGCCATGTTTTGACTAGTTTTTGTGTAGAAGTTACTCATTTATATTTGACAGACATTCACATTCACAAACCCGCCAAGCTGATTATAATCAAATTTTTGCTTGGGGGATTTGTCATGTGGGTATGCGTGTGTGTGTGCGCGTGTGTGTAAACTTATTTGCGCCAACTAATTTCTAACTCCATGGATTGCGCACTGGCTGAGCCCACAGCTATTGGCGAACCCAAAAAGCGAATTTAATAGCATATGAAAGCGAATATTTGCAGCCTTTGCAATTCCCAAACGCAGGTTTCACATATTCCTGCGAAATGGCAGGCACACGCTAAGCCCAGCATCCATCTGGCGCTTATCCCGGCTGCGCATCTGTTTGTTGCGAATACCGTCAAAAATAGTTTCCCAGCTTTTGCAGCTGCTGCTCCCTCCACTTTTGACTCAGTCCATTTCCGTTGCCTCAATGATGCAACGTTCTATTGCCAAACGAAATGCTGCCGCAACCAGTTTTTTTTTTTTAATTGTTTTCCTCTTTTTTGTTTGTTTGGTTTTCATTTTTTTTAACTATTTAAATGGCTTTTGCCTTCGTTGGCCATTTAACCAAATTAACTACATTTGTTCGTACTCTTTTAGCCTAGGTCAATAAAATGCCATTATTTTTAGCACACTTGCTGCAAGGAAGAGAAAGAAATAAAAAATGGCTCTCTCGGCTTATGCCGAAGCCTAAATACCCTTTATGGATATGCGCTTTTACACTACATATATCAGCTATTTGAGGCCTTTTCCATACAAAAAATCCCATTTATTTTGATCGATTTTAATATAGTTGTCCATATAGTTGAATAAGACTTTGCTCAGATATGGAGAGCATAGGAAAACTTGTATAACCAAACAGGTTGCTTATGCCAGAACTTTTTTATCAAAGATTCCTATCTTCCAGTTGTATTTGATATAGTTATCCGATCGAAACGATTTCTGTTTAAAGCTTCCAGCAGAGAGGTAGACCAGATGGACTTGGGTTTAACGACTCGGCTTTATATATTGGAGATATTATGTGCTACACATTTTATTCGAATACCCTCTTTAATGTTATATAAACAGGTTTGCTTTTATCTACAAAACAATCAAATTCTGTCTGATCCTCTAAAAGAAAAGTTCCCATTTACAATTTGAGTGCAATTACACTTAGAAATTAGAATTTGAGGCATAAGAAAATGAATGGAATAAAATTAAAAGCAATTAAATTAAATATATAGTAGAGCTATATTAAGAATCTCCCGGTTTTCAGCAGACTTTGCTGACAACTCTATCTTCATTCCAATGTTATAACCACTTGAGAATTATAAAACTATTATCAAAGAAAAGTTGACAACATAAAAAACATTTATTAAAATACTGTATATATAATGTAATATTACTCTTCCTCACAAAACTTTAATGTCTCTTGATAATGCTAAGGAATTAGGAATATATTAAAAATTCGGCATGGAAAACTTTTCCGGAACAGCACAGAAACATAAAAAGAAACGCCTTGAAATGTGCCCAAAAAAAAAAAGAGAAGCAAAACGCGAACTATACAAAAAAATAGAAATGAAGAAAAATGCAACTGAGAAAACTTTTGAAATTGACACATTCCGATGGATGTGGTCTCCCCCCTTTCTCTCCCCCTCTCCCACCCTCTCTACCTCTCTCACTCTCTGTTGTAAGCAGATTTTTGTGTGTTACAGTAATTCATCGTTGGCAGCTCATTTGAGCCTTGATTTAAATCAAGTTTACGCATAAATATAGCAATTTTGGCTCCAAATGCCATATGTAAACGCTACGCATGATAAACGCCCCAAAACTAGGCACTAAATATAAATAAATATATAAAATCTCTACATAAACATTTATTTTCATGTGGCTTTGTATGCCCTTCCAGAGGGTATTACTATTTTGCCATGAAATGTGTAACGCCTGGAAGGCATCCACTCTGATCCAATAATGTGTATAGGCAATTGATCAGTATCATATTATATATTAACACATGATATATTTTTGATTAGTATCAAGAGTTGTAGACTAGGAATTACTTTCATCGAAATTTGTCGGATCAGACCCCAATATCATATATACGAATTTCTGGGACTGTTCAAAAATTGAATTCATATTTGTTTTTCAAGTTAGCTTGAGGAAATTTCCTTTTTAGGAGTTCCTTCGTGCGGCTTACATATGAGCAACATTTTAACAATATCGTATTACATTATGTAGGAACAATCGACAAAAAAAAACTGGTTTTAGCATTAAGCATGTTTCTCTTTCTCAAAATATCAACAAAGGCTTTTTATATCAGATTTTCGCAAGGGTATTTAGTCTTTCGGCAGAGGCTAGCTTTACTTTTCCTTTGTGTTTTCTGGTAGTTTTACTAAAAGGCGATTGTTACATATATGTCGATTTATTTGTTTATGTGCTTTTTATGTGCGAAACGGCTGACTGCTCTGAGACTGCGGGCAGGGTTGCCAGGCCGACGCAAGAATATGACGATTTCGATAATATTTTATGCGGTCTGCTTCGACTGCTGTCAGCTTTTGCTGCTGCTACTTGGCCTGTTTTTATTGCCAGGCGATTACGAGAGCCAGTTTCGCCGGAAGATCTCAAGAAACATCCACTGACAGCAGGCAAAAAACAATGGCGCAGGAGCTTGGGCGCAACGTGTTGGGCTGCGCGCAATTTTAGTGTTTGGCTTTGGCCAAGAATTTATGGTTTATGGCCTTTTGCTGGTATTTTGTCAAATTACATGTTCGGCTGTTATTGTTGCCGCTCATCTATGCATGTAGTAGTTCTTGCCGGCGGTATAGGCTGTTGAGCCCGGGGCGGGGTCGGTGTGCACAACCTTTTGTCTAAGTGTGTATTCAAGCGTATAAATTGTCAACACATATTACGAGCCATGTGTGTGCGTGTCTGTTTGGGCAACATTTTCTATTGAAATTGCTCTTTGATGGCTGGCGTTTTGTTTATTTGTTTACATTTTTGCACTCGTAAAAACATATCAATGTGTAAATTTTTATACTGACGCTGCAATAGCAGCAATAACAATGGGCCATAAAGTAGAAATTATATCAAAGATTATGATGGCTATTCGATCTTAAATTGAGGCAACACGACACTCCTTTATAAATATAAATTGAAAATAATATTGTGGCCATTTTGCAGAGACAAGGACACAGAGTAAAAGTGAAAGTTAGAGCGAGAGAGAAAGAGCGTGAGATAGAGAGTGTCAGCTGAAAGACATACGCTTAAAGACAACATAAATTGAGGTTATTTTTGGGATCAACTGTTTAAAGACAACATAAATTGAGATTATGTAGCTCATGTACATCCCACTCTTTTATAGATTTCCTATGCTATACTTCTCAAATAGCCTGTAATGCTTGGTAACTAAGCAGGTTAAGGGGCTTCGCTAGAATTCAGTTTATTCGCATATTTCCTGAAAAACTTCCAGTTCAGTCCCAACGCCATAGCTCGGCCAAATGTAATCCCATTTGACTACAATCCCAATCTGACTACATAACTTTTAGTCAAAATTCATATAGGCACAGGTCAAAATCTCTCACCCCTTTGCCTCTTTGTTGATGGTTTGGCTTCCAGATCATTTTGGCATCTTAGTCCGGCCACATTTGAAACATGCTTAAATCTTAAATTCAAAGCACGATCAAGACCCGCAAGTATTCAATTAAAATGTTGTAGACAACATAATCCACTTTAAGGAAACATTGCGCTACAAAGTTTGGTTCAATATTGCTGAGAAAGTTGAGAGCTTTAAGATATTGAAACAGTTGAGATATTTGCTCGCCAGGCACGTGCCATAAAATATGCATGCGAATAATAATGGGCGTTGCAACAATTCATCGTTAAGTCGAGGCCCTTAATCAACAACGCGCACACACACACGCACACACACACGCACACACACACATTCACAGATAGACATGCTTGTGCTCACGTGAGAGTATGATTGTGGATTGCTTGTGCAATGCCTGCGTCTGCCTGTGTCTCTCCCTCATTCTCTTGCCAGGTTCCTCTGCACTTCAAGCAGCCCCCCTCCCACTCCCTCCGCCCTCGTCGACAACATAATCACATGCATTTCCATAGCATACTTACAGGCGACCCTCGAGTTTGCCTTGATGCATTTGAACGATTTGCAAGCAATAAATTTCGACTTTCAATGGAGTTGCATGCGGAATTTGACATTTACTAATTGCTGCATAATGCAACAGTCAGAGAAAAGAGAGAGAGAGAGAGAGTGACATATATAGATAGAGGCAGAGATAGTGTAGTTACTTGACATTTTGGCTAGAATGCTGCTTGTAAATGGAACTCGCTACGTTTCTAATCAATTTGTATGCGAGGACAGACGCTGATCTTGTCATCAGCAATAATTAATCAACGCTCTGCTCGTCAGCGCTGAGTGCTGCCTCGTTGTGTTTTTGTCGTCCTTGTTATTGCGTTTGTCTGGGTTTTACTCTGATTTTTATGATGCCCTGTAAAATTGAAAATCAGGATTAACAAAATGGTTGGCTTTTAACTTTGTTTTCATAAGCTATGTCTCTTTATGTTGGGGATATATGTCGCTTGGAATAAATAAATTTTTATTCATATTCATTTAATTTTCTATATTGCATGTGTTAAATATGTTTTATATTAGTTTAGGAAAACATATTCATTTTCAAAAAACATAGTCTATCGCCGACAATTGTTAACTCCTGGAGCCAGGCATGTTAATGAATTGTTTCAATTTCGGAAATGGCATATTCGCGCATAGATTGTGCTCAGATATATTGACTGGGGTATATGGTATCTTTGGCTAGATTCCTGCTTCGCAGCATGCAGATATATTTTTTGTTTTGCTACGCAGCCTCGTATCACTTTCACAAATTGAAGTTTCTTTTTAGTGCATTGCTATTTGCAGCACAACTTGCCTTATTGTTGTTGTTGTTGTTGTTGTCGTGTAGCTGCTGCGTCTGGCGTGCTTCATGGGAAAGTCATGCATATTCATTGTTTACTTAGACAAACTAACGGCACACACAACGAGCACAACGAGCTCTGCAAACAACAACAACAACAACAACAAAAACAAGAATTTCACCTGATTTCTTTTCAAGTCGCATGTCCTTCACACACACACACACACACAGAAGCTCTCACTGTGCTGTTTTATTTGTCATCCGTGCCAGGACATCCTACTTATTTATGCATCTGCCATTGTGGTCTATTTAGCTTTGTTGTCTTTGCCCAGTCATCAAACACACACACACACACGCTGCCATTTACCGTTATTGGTTTCAATTAACCAACAGACGGAAAAGCCTACCCTTCACGCTCCGCAAAATTTGTCTAGCAATTTTTGCATTTTCCCGCAGTGAAAGGATTCACATTTACCTCCCACTGCGGACAGAGGGGTAACCATGTTTTGCAGTTACTTGGCAGTCACTGCCAAATTGGGCCGAAAGGCCCACTTCACATTTGTGGCTTGCCAATTCGTAATCGTAATTATGGGCATTGGTAATAAAAAAGCAACAGACAAATGGAAAACAATCATAGACTAGGCCTCTTTGGGACTCATGCTTAATTGTGGCAAACAGCTCAGAGACTACTCAAAATTGATCTGTGCAGGCAAACAGAAATGTGAAACAATATTTTCGATTTTGTTCTGGCTATGCCATTTGATTTCTGTTTTTAATTCTGCTCGCAAAGTGGCAAGAACTCTACTTGCTAAGCTCCCAATTTCCGTAGTTCAATAAAACTGAACTGATTTTCATATAAACTCAAATTTTAGACATGTATGTTTCTTCACTTTGACCTGCCAATTAAATATGGCCTTCTTCAAAATGTACATCTTTTTAAATGGCTTTCTGATAACTGAATCTACGAGAGAGTTGACTTGTTTCACGAGTTGCTTAAGTTAATCAAACATTTGTGTCAAAATTCATGCTATCATAAAGTTTCCGAAACTTTCTTCTCGAACGCTTAATTTAGTCTTCAAGTTCCTATAAATTTGGCTAAAATTTTAATGATATTCGTCAATTAATAATATTCAAATTTTAAGAATTTTTAGATGTATATATACCTTAGTTGACGTGTAAAGTTTCTCAGTCTCTGGTAAATATTCTTTTCATTCCTCAACCCCAATTTAAGGTGTCTGTTGCTTTGTATACTCTTTGCTTTTAGCTTGTATTCAAAGTGAAAACTAAGTTGAACAATATTTTCTACAATTTGAAAGAACTACATGCTTTCAGGCCTAGCTTATTCGTATGTCTATATTTGCCTATGTGCAATACAGTTTCGCCTTGTCGAGTGGCACATTTCGTTCAGTCAGATGCCGCATGCAAATGCTAATTAAACATAATTAGCAACTATTAACAAGCCAACCCCGCAGCGTTTGGGCCAACTCCAAAGTGTAACTACGACACACACTTGGCCAGTTTTGGACAGCAGTCCCCCAAAAGGGACGCCAAAATCAAAGCAAATCAACAAGCGCGGACTGTGGACAGCCCACACACGTACACACACACACACACGCATACTGTAACACACTTACACACAGACACACAATAGCCACTTGGACCCTAATAAGTCAACTGCAATGCATAAATTTGGGGGCATTGTGCGTGGGCGGTTTGTTTAGTGGTGTGAGGAGTGTGGAATAAATCAGCACGTGCTGGTCAAGTGTTTGCGCTTGTGACTTTGGCAAATAGCCGGCAAGAGTTTGGACGTCGGCATTCCTTGATTGACAATGTGGTCAACTGTGGACTGCTGATGTTCTGGCCCTTACCCCAGCCACTTGACTGGCGCAAATTTGGCAATACAACAAACGCTTTAACCTTTGGCAGGCCGCACACATTTCAATTGTTGTACAAAATTTGTTGCATGGCCAGCAGCATCTAAAGATGTGTGCGTGTATTTGTGCGCTGTTATACCCTGTACGCATTCAAATTGATTCATACTCTTCATACTTCAGTTGGCTTATCTAGTTGTGTTTGTCTGTCTGTTCATCTGAAGATTGAAATTTAAAATATATAGCTAACGTTTGTACAAAATTATCAATAACTTGTAAATTTTCTAAAAAATTGCTAATTATCGAGTTACAGCTTTCTTTTTCGAGCATAACTCGGCTTCTTTAGGAGTTGACAGGGTATATACAAGTCGCAAATGCTGCACAATAACAACATTACTTGCTAAGTATGTGTGTGTGTGTGTGTGTGTATCAATGAATGTCTGGGTTAGGGCCACATTAAAATTGATTGCCTGCAAGCATTTGGGGCCCTGGTGAAGGCCTCTGCTAAAGCCATATTATAAATTGCGGCTCTGGGCTTAAATGCCTTGTGTTATTCCGCAGCTGTCGGGGTCATCATTTGCTGATGTTTTGATTTTCACACTTTGTCGTCAACGCTTAAACATGAATTGGTTGATTTTTAGATTTCTCGGCAATTTCTATGCAAATTAGGCAACAGACTTTAAGAATTCGGCCTTATGTACGTGCTCTAATGACTGTCAATTAGAACAAATGTTCAAGTTTTGTATTATTTATTTGTGAAATTTGTCGTGCAAAATAATTTCCTGTTTTGCTTAAGCGCTTATTAATAGCGCTCAAGTTGTTAATCTATTGTAATCCTTTTGAATGGCAAACGGATATTAATATCATAAACAATTTACACATTAAATTGCACGACAAACACATAAAACACACACACACACACACACACAAACATATTAATATTCGTTTAGTCCTTGATATAAAATTCAATTTTAGATTGTTCTGCCAGCAGTTCCAGCTGCAAAAGGCAGCCAGCAAATAAAATGCCAGCCTTAACCACAGAAAAAAAAAGCTCATAAAATTCTAAACATATTTTAATATGTTTGGCAAATTTACGTATGGCTGCGAGCGCTGTATGGGGGTACTCAGGTGAATATATGAGTTTATGACTTATGAGCATATAAGGCTCATAAAATGGTATTTGCTTTCATTGTGCGCGGTGTGAGCAATTCACGCACGGCTAAAAATAAATTGAGTTTACAATCTAATAAATTGTTAAAGCATTTTTTAATAGTTGACAATATGTGCTCAACGGCAAGATATATGGTCAAAAGTTGACCACTTGTTAAAGGATTTTCTGCTTAATTGGGTTCAAAGGCGTTGCCACTTACAGACAACTGTTGGCGCCTAGCCAGATAGATGTTAAAAGCTTATATTAAACAGTCATAATTGATATATGGCCATGCCAGAAAGTGCCAAGTGCCATTTGTAGAGCGTATTATTGTTTTGTCATGAAGTCTGCCAATAACGTAACCTTGATTACTCGAAAATGTTGAAACCATTGTAAAGAGCAAATTATTTGTCTAGAATGATTGCTAAAACAATTACAAATGAAAATATCCAAACAATGGCAATCTTAATTACACTCCATCCGCTGTTTGTTTTTGACTCTTGCCTCAAGTCTTTGGGCCGCATTAAGACACACTTGAAGGGCCGTTGCAAATTGTGGGGCCAACTCAAATGGCGCGCACTCAATGCAAGCTGGTAATGATTTGGTGCTTAATTAACTGTTTGCTTGTGGTTGTTGTTGTTGTTGTTTTCAATGAAAAGCATGTTTTGGTTTTAACAGCCGATGCTTAGGGATGCGCTCAGAGCAGAGGCAGAAAGCGTGAAACAAGCAAATTGCCTGCTTTTAGGCGTTGGCACAACAATTAAGTTAGCATTTAAGCCGAAATGGGGCACAAGGACGGAAGATAGCGTGTAAGAGAGTTGACCAGAGCAACCCTTTGCCCCCCAACCCGTTCGAAAAGTCTGGGCATATAAATCAATGGCAACAACATTATTGTAAATGCAAAGAAGGCCGTGCAACAAAAAAATAAAAAAGGTCAAACGCTTAATTTTCTTTGGGGTCGAGCACTGCAATAATAAACAAGAAAGTGTGAAATAAAGCGAAATGGACATAACAAATTTGTATGTCCAGCGACAGTGGGAAAGAGTGAAAAATAAGAAAAATACAACTAAAAAAAAAAA